GGGACTCGATCCCGGGACTCCAGGATCATGACCTGAGCCGAAGGCAGTCGCTTAACCAACTGAGCCACCCAGGCGCTCTTAAGGGGTACATTTTAAAGTCCTCTCCTGCTTTTTTCTTTCACTGTTTGTTCTAGGCATTATATTCACATAATGCTAATGACAGCTGGTGATTACATTTGAGAGTGAAGGTGGTTTGTTTGTTTGTTTTAAAGAGGTATGGCCTGTATATGTGGAATTGACTAATGAAAAGATATACGGCTGTGATTTCATTGTCAGTGCTACAGGAGTTACACCAAATACAGAACCTTTCCTCTGTGGCAACAATGTAAGGTGAACTATTTTGTCCTGCTATGAATATTTTTAAAGTAGTATGAGATTTCTAATTCTCAAGCATAAATAACTATTCATTGTTTTAGTGTAAAACTGTAACTTAAGGAAGTTGAAAACAATTTAGTTTACATTCATGTTTTATTTACAGTATTTCGTATTGCCTAAAGTCCTTAAGCAGTAAACGTCCCAGCGTAAGTGTCTTCATAAATAGGACATAATGCACAATTCATTTGTCTAAAGGTTGATGATTCTACTAGAGAAACTATCTTGTATTTTCTGCCTTTTAGCATTTGAAGCTCAGAAAACTGAGGAATATTGTAATTACGAGTGGGGTAGTCCCATGGTTACTGAGTATTCTTAATGTTGAAAGTCTAAGAATTTTTTAGCTGGGCTGTCCTAGTAGGATTTTGATTCTCTGGAAATTCAGCTGAGTTGTCTAAAGTTGGCAGCTGTTTTTTACTCTCTCACCGAAGATCATACCGAGGTGTAAAAATTTGACTTGTTCTTTTACTTTAGAACAGAAAAGACCTCTTTCATTTTTCTTCCCACATATGCTTATCAGGAACCCTGTTTAGTTTGATCTAGGAGAAGACGGAGGCCTGAAGGTGGATGCTCACATGCACACGTCTCTCTCTGATGTCTATGCTGCGGGTGACATGTGCACCGCGTCCTGGAGGCCCAGCCCGGTGTGGCAGCAGGTAAGCCGGCATCCACCATCACACCTTGTATCAGATTCCATGTGACGGTAAAGGAGTGAGTCACCACCAGCAAATCCAAACTTCTGGTTTTCCCACTTTGCTACTTTAAGTAGGAGGCTATCCTAGACATTTAAAAAAAAAGAATGTTTCCCTTTTGGTAAGTTATTATATAGTGATGGAACACACTGGTATGGTTTGTAATTGAAAAAGAATTATGGGCTATGACTTTCTCATCTTCAAATACTTACCAGCACTGTCCAGTGGAACTCTGTGATGACAGAAACGTTCTATACGTTTGCAGTGTCCAGTCAGGTAGTCACCAGCCTACATGTCTCTGTTGGCACTTAAGATGTGCTGAGTGAGACCGAGGAACTGAATTTTATTTACATTTAAGTTTAAATAGCTCCCTGTGTCTAGTGGCTACCAGACTAGACAGAGCAGCTTTAGATGAAGAAATAACATCCTGAGGTATAAACCGTATAGATGATGACCCCTTGCGATCCTGATGACCCAGTTCTGTCTCTGTGGGAATTATGACTGAAAAAATTCCCTCAAGCGACCATTCTTCCTCAGCCGCACAACTCCGTCCAGCTGGATGTCCGTGTCCTCCTGCCCTCACGGTGGAGCAGAAATCCTTGAGGAAGATATTCAGACCTCAGCCGTAGGCGAGGTGGTCTTAGGAGGAGTAGAGACACAGATAGATGTTACAGATAAAAGAACCAGGCAACACTTGGTGAAAGACTAGCTCCACAGGTAGAGATTCTCCTTCAGATTAACTGTGGAGTGTGAAGTAGCGGAAGGGCCAGATGCATTCTAAGAGGCACCTTCAATACTTTGTTTTTACAGAGATAATAGTCATAGGAAGAGTGCTTTTGGCCTGTTTCTAAAGTGCTAGCTTGTTTTCAGTTTTTTTCTGTAATCATTCTGTGGCATATATGTCTTCAACTCTCAGGAATTGGCGTTTGTGGGATTTTTTTGAACACTTTAAACCCTCTAAGAGGATAAATTATATCCTTATTATGTGTCATACTCTGCTACAGGCAGTATCCGAAAACAAAACAGAGGTCTCTTGTTCTGAGTGAATCTAATAGACCTCATGTTTTAATTTGTAGAAGCAATAAGTACACTAATTAGTTTTACATGATCCAAGACCCAAAGTGGAGGGACTCAGAGGCTGGTAGACATTAATAACCGTCCAACAGTGTAACACTGCCGGCCGCCTCCATTAGCTGTTCTTGAGTGTTGTGCTCAGTTTGCTCTGCTCCCTTCCCACAGACCCCCTTTCACTTCATCAAACCAATCTCGATTATACACAGGAGACGGAATTAAAAAGTCTATCCATTCTACTAGAAATGATTGGGGTAGTATTTTTGCACAAAAAAAGGACATTAGTTACAGGGGTGTAGGTTAGCTTATTTAATTCTCTCAATAGCCATGGAATAGATGATGGTGTACATTTGTTTCAGGTGAAGAAGTTAAGGCTGTTAATAAAATAAATATGTAGAAGAGTCAATGTCTTGACTTTCACAGCCAGTGTTCTATCAGGGATTTCTAAAACTTTGTAGAAATAAACATACAGTAAAGGAGAAATTACTGTAAGGGAAGAATTTAAAATTCCCAGCATCAGTTGCTGAAATCTGTTAAGATTTCCTGAGGCTGGACAACCAACTAATATATTGATTTAGCACCACAATCTAAGGATTAGGAAGAGGAATGAATTTTTCAGTGATAATTTGTCATCTCTACTTCTGATGATGAACTTACTCTGAAAAAAGAGACTGGTTAATTAGTAGTATTCTTACCTGGTATACCCTGAAATGTTGTATTTATATGTAATCGTTTATTGAAACATACAGATTTGGTATCATCCTTTAATTTTAAAGGCAGTAATATCAAATAGCAAAATCAAGTTTGGTTAGTGTGGATTGGTAACTGCTTCTATGGCAAAGACAATCGAACTAGTCCTCTAGCTCGCCAGATCTAGCCAATCTCAAGGACTGTCAACAGTGAACCCCTTTAAGAAATTTTGTAAGGTATTGTTAAAGTAGAACAATGAAAACGTTTATGTCATAACATTTTTTTCTTTCAGATGAGGCTGTGGACGCAGGCTAGACAGATGGGATGGTATGCAGCAAAGTGCATGGCTGCAGCTAGTTTAGGAGAATCTACTGACATGGACTTCAGCTTTGAACTTTTTGCTCATGTAACAAAATTTTTTAACTATAAGGTAAGATAGATAAGCAAATTAGTGCCTTTTTCTGCTTGTTAGTCTTATAACTAAAACCATGTAAATAATTATTATTTTACAAACTTTCTTGGAAATCAGTACCTGGTATTATTGCTGGTCTTAATTCCTAATCATTACCTACCTTCCTGTGCTATACTGTTTCATAGTTAAGGGGGGAAAGTCTCTTCTAGGCTTATTTCCTGTTTGAGTACCTTTTGAGATTCATTCTTGCTTTGTGGGGGGAACCAATAGCTGTCATACTCAGGGATGAACCCAGTGCTTTGCCTCGCATATTCTTCATGACTCTAAGCTGATGCAGTCCAGATCCTAGATATTTTTAATGTTCAGAGATTGTGGTGGTGTCATCTGTACAACAAATGCAGTGCCACTCATTTTTGTGAGTAGATTTCTAGAGTAACAACACAGTATAACTGCATATAGTGTTTCCTTTTTGGTACTTACTAGAATCATGTTTTTATCCCCACCTATAGGTTGTATTGCTGGGAAAATACAACGCACAGGGCTTAGGTTCAGATCATGAATTAATGCTGAGATGTACCAAAGGACAAGAGTACGTCAAAGTTGTCATGCAGAATGGGCGAATGATGGGAGCTGTCTTAATTGGTGAAACTGACTTAGAAGAAACATTTGAAAACTTAATTTTAAATCAGACCGATCTTTCATCATATGGAGAAGATCTGCTAGATCCAAATATTGATTTAGAAGATTATTTTGACTAAAAAAGGCATTTCAAGAACTACAGAAAGTTCCAAATAACACAAAGTCACAATAAGGTAAATGCACTGATTAAATGAAGAATACAGAAGTGATAATGATTTCAGTGGGAAAATATATGTAAATTATTTGAACTTTACAACACAAAACTGACCACTTATGTAAATGTAAGGACTTAAGTTACTCATTTCTGATTTAGCTAAGTTGTTATCTACTTAGCCAACAACTTGGTCTGGCATGCCAGAGTCATTCTGATTGTGAAATCTCAGAGACGGTTATGGTTTCAGATTTATATTAATACCTTATTGTGTTTGGATTCTACAGGTGTTATGAGCTGAAATAACTCCCTGTAATAAGCCTTTGTAAAATATTCCATATGATAACTTCGCTATCAAATGTTGGTTATATCAAAAGAAAATAAACATATCAAGGCATAAGAGTTTAAGATAATTTTTGATGTGAAATACTCAAGTTCAAATAACTGACAGTATGAAATGAGAAAAATGTAAAATACTTAAGTCCAGTACTTCAGAGATAAGTTCCATATGTATAAAATATTAATAAAATTGTCTTAAACTGTTTTCTTGGAAAATAAACACCTATCTCATGCATCATCAATTTATTCTTAGATTGCTAAAGCATGTTTGCAGACTTCTGAAAGTTACCTGGATTTTTTTCTTCCCTCTTTTTATCAGCTCCTTCAGAATGAATCTACTAATAAAAACAAAGCAAACATTCTGGTCAAAACTCAGTGGTTCCATTTTCTCTTCAGATTAATAATACCACTGGTTCTTCTATATCGGCTCTTCAGTTAAGTGTCTAGTGGTCTTGTTTTGTATCTTCCAAGTATCTACTCAAATATGAGCCCTATCCTGAAGGGACATGCTGTCAGAGACACAGCGGTACGTGGCATGCTTTTGCAGGCTTGAGCGTATTGAGTGTGGGAGAGTCATTGGTTCTCGACCTCTGCTGCTCAGGCCGACTTCTCAACCAACGTTGTGAGGGCAGGGTGCATCGCAAATTAGACAACACTAAAATGGATTTTTCCTCTTCTGAAAGGTTGGAAACCCTTGTCTATATTAAAATTAATAGACTAGTTTAAATTCTCTTCCCTAATATCTCTACAGAAAACAAAGGTATGTTCTGGACCCAGGACAGTACTATCCCATAAGCTTTAATGTGTTTTTTCACTATATAGAAATTAATAGCCAGTTACCCTGAAACAGCTCTGCGTGGGCTTCTTTACTTGCATGGTGATAAGATGTGCATCACTATTCAGATTAGCTTTAGATCCTATTTTCAAATATGAAGTCTCTGTGGAAGGTGTAGGCCAACAATCAGAAAGGTTTTAAGAAATTATAAAAAAAAAATAACTAAGTGCAATAATTTTAATACTGATATAAAACTTGCACAAAACAAATACTTTCTATAAATTGTATTTGTAAATTTTATATGGCATTTAAAAGTTTACATGAAACAACTGGAAAACCACTTGTTCTGTTGCAGTTATAAAGACAACACGAAAGGACAAGAAATGGATTGTATATACTTAAGCTACTGCTATAGAAGAAGCTGTGCAGTAATTTTCACCAGGTCTTTATGAGAAGTTTGGGAGGAGCAACACCTACCACTCTCAATCAGTTTCAGTGGAGTAAGCTTTTCATTCAGATTCTTTGCCTCCTTCAGGATCTTGATTAGATCTCTGAAGTGTGCTGTTATATTCTTTCACCTGCTGTAATGAGACAGGCGACTGGGATTTAGAAATTAAAAACAGGCTAGTCTAAGTGGTTAAACTGGCTTAAAATGAGCCATCAACATGCGCCACCCTGAACACTGATTTAATTTGTTCTGAACCCAAACTAGGCTATTCCTCAAGTCTATCACTAAGTTATAAACTGGTTACCAGAAGGTCTTGGGGTATGCTCTGTGAACCAGGGTGTCTGCCAGACATGACTGAGAGTTAGAAGAGAATCAGTCTATTCTTTTTTTTTTTTTCAGTCTTTTTTGTTATGTTAGTCACCATACATCACATCATTAGTTTTTGATGTAGTGTTCCATGATTCTTGTTTGCGTATAACACCCAGTGCTCCATGCAGTACGTGCCCTCTTTAATACCCATCACCAGGCTAACCCATCCCCCTATGACCCTCCCCTCTAGAACCCTCAGTTTGTTTTTCAGAGTCCATAGTCTCTCATGGTTCACCTCCCCCTCCGATTTCCGCCCCTTCATTTTTCCCCTCCTGCTGTTTTCATATTTACTGGATTTGTGCTCATTGAGCAATAATCTGAAAACTATGGCTTCCTCGGTACTCTGATTTAGAGACAAGAATGTCCTGGTCAGATATTCCTAATTATTGATTCTAGCACCCTAATTTATATATATCAGACTCTCGTTAATGTGGTCAGTATAATGCAGTATAATAAACGCATATACAAGTTTCTCTAGTTGCAAAGTTAAAATTGTAATGACCTTCACCCACCAAGGCATCAGAACTCTGTGAGGGGGTAACTGGTTAGTCCAGCTTTTCAGACACAACATACACACAGGATGAAAAAAGTTAAAATGCAGCACCAAAATACTGCTAAATTAGTGTCTTATGAGTGGTTAGCCATTATCTGGTTCAAAAATGATTGACTCTAATCTCTCTTTTGCATTAAATTTCTCTTCCCAATCAGGGACTATAAAGTATTAGAGATTAGCCTTTTCTTGTATAAATAGTATTTCTGTTCAGAGGAATTTACACCTCTCCCTTCAATTCTTAAAAACATGCCTTTAGTATAGCAATATAAAATAGATGCATACACATATCACTTTTCCTTTTATTTACCTTGTTTTAAAACTTTGAGTTACTTTTGAACCTAGAAAATGCTATTCACAGCTTGCTTAATCCATTTTGGGGTCTAATATTGCCCCCATGTAGTCCTAGCTATATATATTAGCCTATAAAAATTTAAAAACAATGAACTAGGGAGTGTTCCAGTCTAAGATGGTGACACAGGAAGATCCTGAACTCCCCTCCATGGGCACACCAAATCTACACCTATTTATAGGCAATTCCTCCTGAAGAACAACTGAGGGCTCACTGAACAGCTTCTGTACAACAACACAGACCACCTAGAGAACAGCGAGAGAGACTGAGAGGTGGTAACAAAGGGTGATTCCACCCCCGATGCTGCAAACTGCAGTGCAGAGGATAGTAACGAGGTCCAGGAGCAGATTTGTCTACCTGGGCCACAGAAAATAAAAGCCATGGTTTAAAAGAGCAACCAGAATATAAAGGAAATAGTTCTTGAACCCTGCTAACTATCTCTGGGTTGGAGGGTCCAGTGAGTACCACAGTTTACGTTCCCCCACCACCTTGACAGCATAGATGGGAGCAGGGTCCAGGCGCCCTATCAGCCTACCACCTCAGTGAGCCCTGGGCCCCCAAAGCACACCAGCCCCAGCTGTCCCACCAAGGCAGCCCCAGCCGTCCCACGAAGACAGCCCTGGTCAGTGCTCACTACAGCTGCAGCTGTCTTGCCACACTGAGGCAGGCACAAAGCACCCTGGAACACTGCAGGCCTGCACTGCTTTGGCTTCAGATGGCTTTCTAGGGCACCCCTGGCTGATGCCTATTTTCAGATCCAGCTGCCTGGCCAGGACAACCTGGCTTACACCTGCTTCAGCTGTCCTTCCAGTGCACTGTCTAGAGAACCCTAGGGCAATCCCAGTCCATGCCCAATTCAGCTATAATTATCCTTGCCAGTTGGCACCCTGCACAAAGCACCTAGGGACCCACCAGCCAGCAACCACTTCAGCTATGACTGCCCCCACCAGGGCACCTTCCACACACTTCAGAGCACCCCAGCTTACCCCCACTTGAGTTTCAGCCATTCTGCTAGGGTGTCCTCTGCACAGAGAACCCTGGGACCACCCACAGCTTACAACCACTTCAGCTTAGGTGTCCTGCAGGGTGCCACTGTGCATAGAGCCCAGGGACCACACTAGCTGGCACCCACTTCAGCACTAGCTGTCCTGCCAGACCACCCTCTGTGTGGAGAGCCACCAGCTTGAACACATTTACCTTCAGCTGTCCTGCCAGGGCACCCTCTGCAAAAAGCCTCAGGACCCACCCCCAGCCCACACCCTCTTAATCTCCAACCATTCCACCAGGGCAGCCCCAGTATGGAGCACCCTGCAATCCCCAACCCATGCCAGCCACAGCTCCAGCCAGCCAGTAAAAGTCACCAGGCATATACAGTTTACATAGGGGACAACCACATACCAAGACCGTTCCTTCAAGTTTAGGAAAAGTAGCTGTTCTGCCTAATTCATAGAAAGACACAAAGTCAAGCAAAATGGGGAAAGGAATATGCCCCAAATGAAAGAACAAAACAAAACCTCAGAAAAAGAAATAAATGAAACAGAGATAAGCAATGTGCCTGATGAAGAATTTAAAGTAATGATCATAAAGATGGGCACTGGGTTGGAGAGAAGAGTAGAACTCAGTGAGAACTTCAACAAAGACCTGGAAAATATAAAAAACCAGAGCTGAAGAATACAACTGAAAAGAAAAAACACTAGAAGGAATCACAAATAGACTAATGAATGCAGAAGAATGATCTGGAAGATGGGGTAATGGAAAGCACCCAAGCTGACAGCAGACATAAATATTTTAATTTTTATTTCTTTTTCTTAAGTAAACTCTATGCCCAACATGGGGCTTGAACTCACGACCCGGAGATCAAGAGTCACATCCTCCTTCATCTGAGCCAGCCAGGTGCCCCCCAAAAATAAAGAATTTTTTAAAATGAGGTTACGTTAAGTGATCTGTTGGACAGCATCAAGTGAACAAGCATTCATATTATAGAGGTCCCAGAAGGAGAAGAGAGAAGGTGGTAGAAAATTTATTTGAAGAATTATAGCTGGAAACTTCCCTAACCTAGGGAAGGAAACAGACATTCAGATTCATGAAGCACGTAGAGCCCCTTGAGAAGATAAACTCAAGAAGCTCAACACCACAACACATAATTAAAATGTCAAAGGCTAAAGAGGTAATTGTAAAAGCAGTGAGAGAGAAACAAAAAGTTATGTTCAAGAGAAACTCCACAAGGCTATCAACTGATTTTTCAGCAGAAACTGCAGGCCTGAAGGGAAAAAAACAAAACAAAACAAAAACCCCTGCAATCAAGAATTGCACAAAGGGGCACCTGGGTGGCTCAGTTGGTTAAGCTGCTGCCTTCAGCTCAGGTCATGATCTCAGAGTCCTGGGATCGAGCCCTGTGTCAGGCTCCCTGCTCAGCAGGGAGTCTGCTTCTCCCTCTCCCTCTGCCTCTCTCTGGCTCGTTCTCTCTCTCTCTGTCAAATAAATAAAATCTTA